TATATATATATATATATATATATATATTCACTGGGTTGAATAGTGCCCTCCCCCAATTCCCGAAAATTCATGTTCAGCCAGAACCTCAGAGTGTGATCTTACTTGGAAACAGTATCCAAATACCACATTCTAATATGTAAGATGTAAATTAAGATGAGGTCATATTGGATTAGAACGGTCGTTAAAGAACAGGACTGATGTCTTTATTAGGAGAAGACAGAATATGCAGACAGAGCACACAGGGAGAATAGAGATACAGGCAGAGATTGGACTGACATGTCTACACACCAAGATCTGCAAGAATTGCCAGCAATCACCAGAAGCTAGAAAAGTGGCATGAAACAGAGCTTCCCTCTGAGTCCCCAGGAAGGAACCAACTCTGCAGATGCTTTAATTTTGGACTTCTGGTCTCTACAACTATGAGCAATACATTTCTGTTATTTTAAAGCCATGCAGTTTGTGCTAACTTGGTATAGCAGTCCTAGGAAGCTAATACATATGCTAAAGTATACAATAAATTGGTATGTTAGATATGCATAAATATAGGAGAGTTCATTTGAATTCTTATGAAAATATTATCATGAAGTTTTAGTGATACAATATATAACTACCAGCTTATTTCAGTTAATACCAGGTTTTATATTTGAACAAGCTGACAAATAATAGCTATTCCATAAGCATCTGAATTATGTTAAAGTTTTATTGGTTTTTATTCATGTGAATTATTAAAGTGACATCTAGATTTAGTGAAGTGTGAGTGGGCCTACCTAATAACTTAATTTTGTTTAAAATTCTTATCCTAGAATTTATAAAAGCATGAAATATAAACTGCCATTTATTCTTCATATGAAAAATGCCATGATTATTCTATATGTGGGGGCAGCATGTATACTAACAGACCTCTGAAAAAAGAAATATAGCATTTTCCTTGGTTCACAAACACTCATTTAACACATAATTCTATGACATGTAACACTACATAAGTTTTTTTTTTTTTAATTATATAGCCCAAATGAATTTAAGTGCCACGACCTCTAAAAGTTCTACCTACCTATCCCAGGTTATTTAGGGCCTTGAGCCAGTACTCCCCTTATAAGCTTAAAACCCAAGGCTAAAGCTCCAACCTTAGTTGTATAGGGCTATCCATCTCATTACTGGACTCTTTTGATTGCTCAAAATCCTGGTTACTGATTATTACATCTTCTGAAGTTATTTAATTAATCAGAAGTTTTAGTTTTATAGATCTGGGATGCTACCTTGTTTTTAATCTTTTTCTATTCTTTTTGTATTTGTTTAGCAGAATATTAAAAGTGTTATTTGGCTTCTTTTAGGGTCTTATAAGAGAGTGATGAGCAAGCATAATTTAGAGGAACAATAGAAGGCCCAAGACAGATACTCTGGCTAAAAAATATATACATATATTCTAAAAGCAAGAAGTCAAAGATGAAATGTAGGCTGCTACCAGTTAAACAAGCCTTTGGGTCAAGCCCCAATCAAAGGTATGGTTGGAAGACACATTTTACAAAAGTACTTCTAAAAACAATAGAAGCATTATACCCCAATATCCTGACTTGGAGTCCAAAGTATAGTGAGGACAGTCTCAAAGAGATTTGTGGGAATGGCTTTTGTATAATATGATATAATACAATTATATATATATATATATACACACACGTATATATATGTGTGTATATATCTATATAGGGATGTACAAATATCACATATCATATATGATATATATATGTGAACTACACAAAGAAAGCTTACAAAGTTTCTAAAGGAGTTATACCCATTTGAACTAAAAGTTCAAAATTAAGAGAAGCCTCTTGGCCTCCAACTTTTTATGGCTAGAAAAAGGCTGAAAAACTCCTCAGCTGTCATCATGGGCCATTTCCTGTTGAAAAGAAAAGTGGTATAAAGGCAGAACCAACAAGAGGCTGGAGCTAAGAGCTGCTGAGAACAATGCAGTAAGGAACTGCTCCTAGGGAGCAGAACTGGATGTGATAAGGAACATTCTCTTTCTCAGAGTCTTGGAAGCTAGCAACACATGCCTCCTTGCATCTCAGAATTGCTCCGAACAAGTGACTGCGATGTGCTTTCTGTCTTGTACCCCACCTCACCCCACCCCCTGCCACCACCTCCATTTTCCAATGGGAGCATTTTCTGTGGTTATTCTTTGCTTGTCTCACCATCGCACGTTGATGTGTGGGGGCAGATAACTCGTATTTTTAGTTCACAGTTTCCCAGAATAAGAGGAGCACATCCAAAAAACTTCATCTATGAGGTCCTGGACTTTGAATCTGATTCTATAATTTTTGCAGGGACACGTTGCTCTGTACATTTTAGGCAGCAAGAACCAGAGTAGCAAGAACATTCTGACAAAATCTCCACTCAGGGTGAGAGGGAGGCAGCCCCCATGATAAGGGGCCCTTTTTGCATTGGGAATGACTGAGAGATGGACATAGGTAAAGCTCACTTCACCTAAAATACATGTTGATAAGGAGAAATTAAATACATCATAAATTTTTCTTTCTTCCTCACCCATGAGATATATTCAGTGATATCAAAACTTAATACAGGAATTCAATTTAAAAAGTTAATTTATTCCTTCATAGATTCAACAAACATCTATTGAGCATCTATTCTTCTAAAGGCACTGTTCTAGGCATAAGAGAGAGAGCTCACTGCTGTCATTGAGGTACCCAACTGATGGGAAAGGGGAGACAGACAAGAAAGAAGTAGGCAAATAAATCGATGACAGACATTTGGGTAGTGGGAATGCAATGAGGAAAATAACATTGAGTAGGGGTGAACTTTTGACTGGCCAGGGAAGAACCTTTGAGCAGGTGACATGAAGTTGATCTGGGCACCCTGCAAAGCCATGCTATAATAAAGGTTGTTCCACACAGAGTAAATAACAACAGCAGAAGCCCTGAATGAAGAATAAACTTGGCTTATTTGAAGAATGGAAAGAAGGCCAGTGTGGTTGGATGTAAGTATAGAAAGCGTGGAGGAATAATGATAGGAGATGGGCTTTGAGTAGGTGGGCAGGAGTCAGACCGCAAGGCGTCTAATAGGTCATGGTGGGAGTTTGGATTTGATTCTACCTGCAGTGAGCAGTCCTTAGTAAAAAATATTCTCTAAAGTAAGCTGGAGTTTGAAAAAGTCTATGTTGATGGTAATTTGATAACATAGGCACTCACTTACGCACACAAACTCCAGACTTTGAAGCCAGCAGAGCCTGTGGGAGATCAAAGGGCGGGATCTAGAATTATCCACTGGCCAAAACTCAGGTATTAGAATTCCTTGTCCCCTGCCCCTGACGCAGTCGGTCGGGATGTCTCAGTTGGCTGTAATTTCACCTGCCTCCCTCTGTGGAACTGAGAAGGGGTCCCTGACTTCAGGAGACTGTCCCATCAGGCCTAAACCTCTCAGATACTTAATGACATCCTGAAAACAAGGTTAACAGCAGAGAGTTTTTCGAGATCTGCTCAGACGTGAATTTCTAAAAACAAAACAGAACAAACCAACAAAAACCAGGCATGCAGACTGTTTCCAGACCTAGCCAAATGCCTTCCAAACATAAAGCTACTATGTGCCTGTTAAGTTAGGACTTTTACTGTTTTGTGCTCTGAAAACAAATGCCCAAGCTTCAGCCAGAGCAGGGAAAGCAATGTTCAGGAAGCTACCTAAAAATTTTCAGAGAGCAATTTTCATGCATTAGTGTATCATGTATATGCATCACTTATGGGACAACTGAGTCTCAGGAACTAGTGGGAAATTCTATTGAGGTGCTTTAGCATTATTGTTATAGATATTTCAGGAGCACATATTATGTGCTAGGCACTGTGCCAGTTACTGGGACTTCAGTGGAGAACAAGATAAATTCTCTGACATCAAGGAGCTTTTATTCTAATAATAATAATAATAACACCTTTTTCTAAAGATTTATTTATTTATTTATTTATTTATTTATCAGAAAGAACGAGAGAGAGTTCACACACAAGCAGGCGGAGCGGCAGGCAGAGGGAGAAGCAGGCTCCCAAGGAGCAGGGAGCCCGATGCAGGACTTGATCCCAGGACCCTGGGATCATGAGCCAAAGGCGGACGCTTAACCGACTGAGCCACCTAGGCGTCCCAACACTGACCATTTATTGAGTGTTTCTTACATTCTAGCACTCTTACTAAGTACATTAACTCATTCAATGGGGAATCTAGACAATAAACATATAAGTAAACATAGAGTAAGAGGTGTAAAGAAAAATAAAGCAGGGGATGGTAGAGAGATCAATGGTGGCCTGAAGATGTCTATGTCCTAATTCCCAGAACCCGTTAATATGTTACCTTACATAGCAAAAGGGACTTTGCAGACACAGTTAATGATTATCCAGATGGGTCCAATGTAATCACAAGGGTCCTTACAACAGGGAGGGAAGAAGGGCAAAGTCAGAGACATAAGATGGAAGGATGGAAGCAGAGAGAAGATGTGATGGTGCTGGCTTTGAAGATGGAAGGGGGCATGATCCAAGAAATACAGGCAACCTCTAGAGGCTGGAAAAGGCAAGGAAATGATTTCTTCCCTGGAGACTCCAAGAGGGATGCAGGCCAATTGATGCCTTCATATTAGTCCAGTGAAACAGAGTTTGGGTTTCTGAACTTTAGGGACGTCAGATAATACATCATGTTGTTTTAAGCCACTGAGTTTAGGGCAATTGGTTGCAGCAGCAATAAAAAAATAATAATAATAATACCCATGGTTACAGGAAGGTGAATAATGGAGGATGGCAGCAATGAGATGAAGATCTTTAAGCAGCAAAGTGATTGAGATGAAGGAGGAAGCCATCTGGTTGGCTGTCTGGGAAAACATTCCAGAGAGGGAACAGCAAGGCAAATGCTCTGAGAAGGGGCTAGTCTCAGTCTGTTTGAGGACTAGTCAGGAGGCTTGTGTGAGCGAGCAAAGGGAAAGGTGTTAGAAGGTGACCTTGGAGAGGTAGCCCGAGCCCAGATTATGTAGGGCCTTGGGCACTTGCCAAGCATGTTGAGTTTGTTCCAAGAGGGATGGGAGATCATGGGAAGGTTGTGAGTAGGGAGGGATATGATCTTGTTACTTTTAAAAGGAGCGGTGTGATTGCCAGGTGGAAAATAGACTCTGGGCTGGAGGAGGCAGTAGAGGCAAAGGGGAAAGCATAGAAACGGGTGGGAGGCTATTGAAGTGGTCCAGTGAGGGGTGTAGAGGCACAGACTGGGAAGAGAAGAGGTTGAAAGGAGTCTCCTTTGCAGATGCAATTGACAGGATTTGCCAGTGGATTGGATATGAGTCCAAGATGGAATGACATCAAGGATTTTGATGACACTATTGCTGAGATTTGGAACACTCTGGGAGGAACAGGTTTATGATGGAAATTCATGAGTTTGGTTTTAGCTACGTTATGTTTCAGACGGTAAGTGGATGGCTGAGTGGTGATGTCAGGTAGGCAGCTGGCCAGAGAGCCTAAAGTTCAGGGGAGTGGTTGGACCTGGTGACATCACTCAAGGTGCCCTGAATGGTATGAAAAGCCATGGCGCTGAGGCTCGTGTAGCTAGATACTGAGGACAGAGCCCCCGGGCACGGCAACCTTTAGAGCCCTGGGAGAGGACAGCTCGCCAAGAGCAAGGAATGGAGTACAGCCATTATTTTCATCCTCAAGAGACGCGAAGCCAACGTTTTTGACCGTCTGGCCTGCTGAAGCTTGGAAAATGGCAACTTGGCACTTGCAAAGGTCCTAAGAAGGAGCCATGGCCTTGGCCTATTTGCCCTGGCTTTCAGTGAGCTTTTAAAATGCCAGTGAGCTCTGTGCTGATGGTCTGACAGCTGTGAATACAAGATGCTGAATCCAGAGGCACCTGGGCAACTCGCTCTGCAAGGGCCCTGGCCTCAGCACTAATGACCGCTGGGCTGAGCCCCCTGAAGCCTGCATGGGGGTTAGCAGCCACTACACTTCTCCAAGAAACAGCTCTCTGTGATCTGATCAAACACAGGCTCTTCCCTGCTTTGCTTGGAAGCTTGGGTATTTGTTTTCAGGGCATTAAACAGTAAGAGTCCCAGCTTAACTAACTCACAGGCGCTTTATGTCTGAAAGGGATTTGGCTAGGCCTCCAGTCTCCCTCCCGAGTTGTCTGAAATCCAAGTTTGAGCAGAGAACCTTGAGACACTCCTGCTACCATTAGCTCTCCTGTCTGGCTTTGCAGCGTGACCAGGACAAGCAGAGGAATGAGAAGTGCCTGAAGTCACTGGTGAGGCACGAGCACCCTGGAACGAGAATTCACAACTCTACGAATTTAATTTGCTCTTTCATTCCCTTGCCCCTTTTTCTCAATAGTTATTCTGACCTTATAAAAAGGCTGCTGATTTACTTCCCACTACACTTCTCTTCCAGAGAGCTCAGTTTCTTCCTGTTTCATGGTCATAGTTCCTCAGCTCCCTGTTAATCCACTGCTTAGAGCAGCGATTCCCAGGCCTAGCTGAGCACTGGAATCATCTGGGGAGCTTAAAAAACTCCTGAAGGCTGGGTCCCATCCCCAGAGATTCCAATGTAATTGTCTTCAAGTGCAGCCTGGGCAGCTGGATTTTTTTAAAACTCCCCAGGTAACTCTAATGTGCAGCCGTGATTGAGAACCACTGGCTTCCTGACTCTGTGCTTTCCAAATTAACCATCAGCTAATTTCATGACTCTCCACTCTCAGAGAAAGTGACGGGTGAACCCCTCAGGGCCCTCTCCATTTCCAGGTAACACTACATTACAGCGGTAGCCTTCAAGAGAACAAGGCCTGCTGCTTGTAATCTCCCTCCAGGGAGTGCCAGATCCAGGAAAAGACAAGATTGTGCAGGAGAGATCTAGGGGAAAGTAGGACCCTTAATACTGACAGCACAAAGGCATCTTTTTATTAAGTCTTTTTTTCATGCCAGTGTAGCTAAGGTACACTGTCATGTTCGTTTCAGGTGTACAATATAGTGATTCAACAATTCTACACGTTAGTGCTCATCATGATAAGGCACCTTCTTTTAACACTATGTTTGTCAGGTGAGAATTTGTCAGTGCAAACCTGAGACTTAACTTCGGCTTCCCCTCAGGGCTTTTGGGAAATGCACTCTTTATACCAGGTGCATAAAATCAGCTAACAATCGAGGGCGTGCCAACGCGGTTATAGAACGCGACCTCTGCCTTCCAAGAGAGTCCACTGGGAAGGAGGTGGAGAAACAGAGATCCTTGCAACCTCGTGTGTTCTGCAGACCAGGGCGTGGGTGTCGCCATCACCCCGGAGCTTCTCAGAAATACAGTATTCTGGGCTTCATCCCAGATCGCTTCAGTAAGAATCTGCATTTTAACGAGATGCGCAGCGGGTAAGTAAAAGTTTGAGAAGCGCTGGTTTATCGAACTGTGGGTAGCGCAGTACACGAAATCCTCCTGAATAGTAGGGTTTGGCGGAGGGAGCCACCTCTTCCTCTTCCCGGACGGGGGTCTTTGGACAGTGAGTGGCAGAGACCCGCTGCCGGCAGGCCGAGGCGCAGGACTGGGCCGGGGCGGCCCCGCCTGCCCGCCCCGCCTCCCTCCCGGGTCTCTGCCCTGCGCGCGGTTGCTGTGGCAGCGCCGGACGCAGTTCGAGCAGTGGCTGTTGCGGCCTCCACCTCCTCCTCGAAGGCCTCCCCAGACCCCTGGCTCCGGCTCAGCTAGCGTCTCCGCCATGCCCTGGGGGAGGCGCGGAGGCCGGGTGAGCGCCCTGGAGAGCGGCTCGGAGGAAGAAGCGCCACCGGCGGCGGCCGCTGGGCCCTCGGCGCTGTGGGTGTCCCAGCTACAGCCGGAGGTGGCGGCCGGGCAGATTCTGCTTCAGGGCATCTTCAAGATCGGGAAGAGCAGCTGCGACGTGGTGCTGGGCGAGCGGGCCCTGAGGTGGTGGCCCATCCAACCCGAGCGGCCTGCGGGTGAGTGGTTCCGGCCCCTTCACCTGCAGCTGTGCCCCCACTCTCTCCTCCTCCCTACACCTTCCGCCCCGGCGCTTCCCTGCGCTCCCCTCAAGCTCCTCCTCTCCCAGCGTCCCGACGCCCCCGCCCCCTCCTTCCCAATCGGGGAGAACCTTATCTACCCCTCCCAGGGGCCTCGAGCTACCTGCTGCCTCTCGCCTGGCTTCCCGCCTCCGGGTGCGTTCCCTGGAGTCAAGTCACGCTGAGCTTCTGTTTTGCGACACACAAAAAAAGAACTGAGCCTCAGAGAGGCGGTGTTTTCTAGACTGCAGGAAGGTCCACTCCTTCCCTCCAGGCTGAAGTTTCAATCCATCAACCTCTGCGGTACGCTGAAAGTATAAGCATTTTACAGAGTACACTAACACGTGGGTTCTGAATCCACCTCTCATTCTGCTGACTTCTGAAATTTCAACCCCCCTCCCCGCCCCGCCCTTGGGCTCTCTCTGGACTTCTCCGTCCCTCACATTCCTTGCCATTGTCTAGAATCAAGGCTTCCACAGGCTTAGTCTGGAAACTGTTGATCTTTAATGTTAACTTTACAATCCTCATCATGCTGCTTACTTACATTCACCTTTTATTGACGAGTTATTTAGAAATGTTACAGTGCCATATTTACAATAGAACTATTTCAAGTCTTAGTCTAGAGATGATTTCTCGAAAACCTTGGGATGTGACACTGTCTCTCCTAGCTGAATACCAACTTAAAATTGCCTTCCTGGGTTGGAAAACCAGCCACCCTGTACTAGTACTATAGAAACCCGTTACTGTTTTAAAGTTTCTTGTGCAAAAAGCTAACAAAATGCTGCTGACTAGTCAGGGACTCCGCCCTGGTTGAGTGTGAATTCTGCCTCTGCTGCATAGGCCATCCTTGCTCTCTTATACTTTAATTAAAGTGTCTTCAGGTGTTTTGAAAGCCAAGCTAGACTGTCTTACTGAAGCTCTGAGTTAAAAGCTAGGGATATGGATGTAGAATTCTGTTAAGTTTTTAAGTCTGTTTGAATTTGGGAGGATATAGAAGTTATATAGAGTTTAGCCTACAAGAGCCAACTTTACCTACAACGGAGGTGAAACACTACAGAATTAAAATGAGACCTTGCTCAATGAGAGATCATACAGATTGGTGTTGCAGTGCCCATACACAAAAAAGGCAAATAATGACACGAGAAAGGAAATGTTTTAAATTGAGTGGTGATAGAGGAAAAGTATGCTTACTTAGTGTTCCTGGAAGTAGAATTCAAAAACTATAAAGGTTGAATGTTTTTTTGGTTTTTGTTTTTTGTTTGGGATTTTTTTGGCTCTAAAACCCCCTTTTTTTTTTCATCTAGGTGTCTTACTTTTTTCTTAACACCTAGTGTGCAAACCACTTTAGGCCCTTAAAATTGAAAGTTCAGAATCCTAGCAACTTCATAAGAACTTCTATTTGTAGAAGAAACGGATGTTTTACTTAGTACCTTTTCTTCTCCCACTCAGTTTACTAAGAGATAAGTTTAAATGTGTGAAATAATCTCTGATGTGGAATTAGTTTAGATTTGAGTGCTGAAAGACCAATGAAATTGGTTCAGATAATAGAGGAAGGACAACATCAAGGTTATCATACTTGGGAGGCTGTGGTGTGGAAGGATGTAGTGGGGGAGACCATGTCCATTGCTCCTTGGTCAGTGACTGACTGGCTGTTGCAGGAAAGGGTGGGATAGGGTGGGGTGACTGGGCATTTTTAGATCATACATAGGAAATAGTTGCAAGACCACTGAGTTTTTAAACCTCACAGTGCCTTTGTAGTTTTTTTAAAAGTAGATCTTATTTGGGGCGCCTGAGTGGCTCAGTCGGTTAAGTGTCTGCCTTCAGCTCAGGTCATGATGCCAGGGTCCTGGGATCGAGCCCCGCATCGGGCTCCCTGCTCAGCGGGAAGCCTGCTTCTCCCTCTCCCACTCCCCCTGCTTATGTTCCCTCTCTCACTGTCTCTGTCAAAAAAAAAAAAAAATCATTTTTTAGAGCAGTTTTAGGTTCACTGGAAAAATGAGCAAAAGGTAGAGATTTCCCATATGCCCTCTGCCCCTTACACATGCACAGCCTCCCCCATTATCCACATTGCTCACCAGAGTGGGACATTTGTTACAATTCATGAACCTACGTGAACCCATCATTACCCAGAGTCCATAGTGTACATTAGGGTTCACTCTTGATGTACATTCTGTGGGATTTGACAAATTTATAATGTGTGTCTTTGGGTTCTCCAGAGAAAGGGAACTTTGGCTATAGATTAGAGGAGATTTACTATGGGATTATGGAGGCATATATTGACAGGATGCCACCACTATAGTGTAAAGTATGTACACAAAAGGGCATCATCTGTTCAGATAATGTTGATTATCTGCAGTGTTACCTAATGATCTTTCTATTGGAATTTTAATACCTGGCCATTTTACTTGTGTAAATATATAATAAATAAACATGTGTTTATTCATGTGAATATAAAGTAATTACCCAGTTAGCTGTGACCTAGAAAGGAACAAAATCCTAAAGAAAGGGGAGAAGGGATCAGGTGAGTTCTCTGAGGCCAGACAAGTCTGGATTATGGGACCCTGTCTAGGCAAAGCAGATTAAGAGTAGTGCCACAGTATGGGTATCCCCCAACATAGTGCCTGGAACTGGGGGGTAAGGTGTCAGAAATTAGGGGTGCACAGGAAAGGGGACATGGGCAGATGTATTAGACAAATCTGTGTATTTTATAACTTAGCCCTTCACTTGTGCTGTTGATGGATCAGAGTTCAATGTTTTCCAAAAGCATCACCGGTTGCTTGTTGGCATTGTTCTAAATCTCAGCCAAGGACAAACTTCTAGGCATATTTGCTTAGCAAGTAGTAAGCTTCTACTTGAAAGGTTTGATTAAAGCAGGAGATAGAAGTATTTTTGTGCATCTCCAGAGCTGGATCTGCTTACTGTACTTTGTGACCGGGTGGATCATGTTGTACTATAAAGGAACAGCTACTGGTGGGGAGAGTTAGGAATGGGTAGGATTAGGCTGTATTAAGCTCAAATTTTAATACAGTTATGAATGATCAATTCAGGAATACCAAAATGCCCACAGATCTCTCTTCCTTTTCACACTGGAAACCTCACCATTTGCTCATGGATAGCACCTTGATGTATGAAAAAATGGGATCTTTTGTAGGGTCCCTGCTCCAGCTGTCTGTAATCTCCTGCCTGGTGTGGGAACCAAAGGACCTGCCATCTTGTCTCTGTGACTAACAGGACTGTAATTGATTTGGGGCAAGTGATTTAACCCCCACTTAGTTTCTTCACCTGCAGATTGAGACATTTACATTACAGTTGACCCTCCAACAACTTGACTTGGAACTGCACCGCTCTACTTACACATGAGGTTTTTATTTTTTTATTTTTCTTTTGATAAATGCAGTACAGTAGTATAAATGTTAAGAGTCTTAAAAGATGCTTTTTTTCTCTAGCTTACTTTATTGTAAGAATACAGTACCTGATACATTTAACATACAAAGTGTGTGGTAATTGACTATTCATGTTATTGGGGAGACTGCTGTCAACAATAGGCTGTTGAGTTTTGGGCGAGTGAAGAGTTCTATGTGGATTTTTGACTGCACATGGGTCAGCACCCCCAATCCCTGCATTATTCAAGGCTCAAGTATATATAATCATTGAAAACCATCACCTCTGAAGTTGCTTTTTATTTTTTATTTATTTTTATTTGACAGAGACACAGCAAGAGAGGGAACACAGCAGGGGCAGGGCAGAGGGAGAAGCAGGCTCCCCGCTGAGCAGGGAGCCTGATGTGGGGCTTGATCCCAGGACCCTGGGACCCTGACCTGAGCCGAAGGCAGACGCTTAACTACTGAGCTACCCTGGCGCCCCGAAGTTGCTTTTTAAAGAACATACCTATTTTCATAGACTTCAGGGGGTAGGACATCATAAATAAGTCTCACTTTTGAAGGATCAGTGGGGTCAGCCATCTGGTGCCTGCAAAGGAGCTGTATTTTACAGCAGGAGCTACTCAACCCTAATGAATTTCTAGATAGAAGAAACACATGGGGAAAAAACAGGCCCCTTCCTGCCCTTCCCCAGCTTCAGGGCATAGTGGCGAGAGGTGGACAGTCATCTCAGGCCCAGGCCTGTCTATGGAAAGGAAGAAACCATTTTCTGATGGAAAAATGTTGGTCAAGGCTAGTCCTAAGCACATTTTTTTTTTTTTAAAGATTTTATTTATTTGACAGACACAGTGAGAGAGAAAACACAGGGGGAGTGGGAGAGGGAAAAGCAGGTGTCCTGCTGAGCAGGGAGCCCGATGCGGGGCTCGATCCCAGGACTCTGGGATCATGACCCGAGTGGAAGGTAGACGTTTAACCCACTGAGCCACCCAGGCGCCCCATCAGCACATTTTTTTTTTTTTTTATGATGGATAAAAAAACTAGCTTATCCTCAGTTTCATTTATGATACCTTTTAAGCAAATTTCGGGCCAAGGATTTTATAATATTCAGATGCTAATCAGACATACTATGTTTTAAATATGAAAACAATGAGTTTCAAATCTTATATAGGTTTAAAATTCTCTATTTTTCATGGATTTACTATTTCAGGTTTCACAGTTTCATGATCTGTTTTACCAAAGGGTTATTCCTACCCCAACTCTGAGCTGAGTTGAATTAGAGCAGTAACCAGAAAACGTGAGAAAGCTGGGCTTCAAAATAAGGTCTTGAAAGTGTTTCTTTTATGAGCATTAAAGTGATTAGCTTTACGTTTATAAACATTTGCTGGAAACTTACCAGTGTGAAAGGTAATGTGGAAAAATGTGAAAATGAGAAAAAATAATTTAATAATAAGAGTTAATGGTTGTTTGGGACTTAGCAGAGCTGGGTGTATTCTAAGTATTAATCTGCCTAAGCTGTTTGGGAACAGATGTACGTGAAACAGATCCCAGTCTTCTGTTGTG